AATTATTTATTTATTTATTCATTCATTTTGTGTGTGTGGCCAGCTCAGCCCACCAGGGGGCGGGGCTGGCTGGCATGTGGTGCTGGGGGATTGAACCACTGTCCCTGTGTTTTGCTTAGCTTAGCTTGTTCTAAGTAGGTGCTTTAGACCACTGAGCCATCTCACCAGCCCCCCCCCCCACTTTTGAGAGTTTAAACCTTGCCTGGTTCTCCTGCTGGCCTTGATGAAAGAAACTGAGTAGCTAGGAGAAGTACCAATTGCCAGCCAGCCAGGAGGACTCTGTCATGCAGCCACACAGAATGGAATTAGGCCTGCAGCCACATGTTTGGAAAGGACGCTGAGCATCCCAGGGGCAGGGCACAGAGGCCAACCAACAGGCCCACCAACACCTCACTTGCTGCCGTGGGGTCCTGAGCAGGTAAGGGCAGTGTGATGCCTGCCTGCTGGAAGCTGAGAAGCGGTAAACATGAACTGCATTAAACCACTAAGTTTGTGGCAATTCCCTGCATAGTGATAACCAGTAGATCAGTCCATAGCCATTCTACAGCCTTGGAACCAAGAGGCTCCGACTGCCCAGGTGCGAGACCTGATCCAGTAGTCAGTCTGTGTGACTTGAATGGGGACACTGAGCTGGAGTCACTTCCCTCCCGCAGGCCAGCCATCTCACCTGCACAGAAAGTGCTTTCTACTCCTCTCCACCACTAGGGGTCCTCCAAGTCCCGGTAAACCGGTGTCTTCCTTGCCTTTTCAGGTCAACATCTGGAGTGGGAGGGGCAGAGCTTGTGTGCGCAGCTACCCAGGAGGCTGAGGCAGGTGGGTAGTAAGTCTGCGCCCAGCCTGCACAATGTAGACTCTTTCTCCAAAAACATAAGGATTGGGATATCTGGGTTCAATCCCCAGTAAAACACATGCACGCACACAGGCACGCACCCACGCAAGCACGTGCAGAAGGAACCAGAACAAGAGACGGTTTCTCTCCTAGCCCCCTCCCCAACTTACCTATAGGGCACCAAAGCCTGCAAGACAGGTGTCTCGCCAATGGCTCCACAGCCCAACACGGCCTCTCTCTGCCTCAGCCGTCCGGGACTATAGGAACTCATGATTATGTGGCCCCCCCCCAACAGGTCAGGGGGGTGGGAGCCCACTCTGGAGTGTCCTAGGGCTCTCAGCTGCAGCTCTGGAAGTCCCAAGGGTGGTGTGATGGGTGTAGGTAAAAAGAAGACTTGAGATTAGGAGATATCTTAAGTACCCAGCTGCCACTGCTGGGCCAGCGATCCCACTCCCTTTGGCCAGCTCTGACCCTCTGATGTTGACAGTTCTCCAGAAGCAGACACAGACACTGCGTTGGAGGTGCAAGATGTTTATTAGGGACAACACCTGTGAAGAGAAGAGACAGCAGGCCTGGGACAGAAGAGGTCAAACTGTGCCACAGCCCTCACGGTGCCCTGGCTGAAGTGGAGGTACCATGGCACAAATGGACAGGTGTGCATCCAGTGCCTGGCTCACCCACCAGGGCGGGCTACTGGGGTAGACATGACCTCAGTGGGGCGCTGGCGTGGGCACTGCCTCTCCTGCCTTGCCACTACCTTTCCCTACAGGATTGTTTCCGAGTTTGCTTCCAACTAGACGCTAAAGATAGGACTTAGGAAGAGGCTTTATCAGAGTATAGGAATTCGCTGGTATAGGATCTGGTGAACAAATTAGGGGAACAAAAGAGGTAAAGCCCTGGTATTTTCAAGACACACCAGCCACCTCAGGGGCAGGAGGGCACAGAGCAGTTTGCGTTGCTTTTTGGTTATGCAGTCTACACTGCAGGCCAGTGTGTCCGATCAATAGGTTGCCACCAGGAGGTGGGCAGTGCCTGAGCAGCACTTCAGCAGCACAGAACCGAGATCCTTTGCTCCCTCGACCCTCAGCTTCCTATACAGACAATGGAGGAAGGAAATCCATGGAGCACCATGTAAAACGCTTTCAGCCCAGGAAGCAGGTTTCCTCCTTACCCTCATGTGACACATTCATAAAGAAGTGTTGGGATAAAGTGAATTTGCTTAAGGTCACATAGGTACTCAAGGCAGGAGCTTGTCTTTGGGCAGTGTGGTCCTAGTCTGCTTTTTAATATTCATTTAGGGCATGGTCACACTAACCCCCTTGGGGCTGGCCTGCCACACACCTGCTTTACTTGGCTCAGAGATTTAAAAATATTTGTTAGCTTTCATTTTGAAATTACGATGACTCAGAGGCAGCAATGTCTCCAGCTTCTCTTGAAAAATCTGGCCATCTGGCCACCCTGGACCAAATTCCCACAGGGTCACAACTGGGTAGCAGGTAGGTAGTTGCCACCCTTGAAATGGGTCACACCAGTGTTCACTCATACGTTGTTACCCGCCTGGCCTCTGCAGGGGAGGAATCTGCTGCCCTTAGCCAAGGCAGGGAGTCCTGAGAGACTGACACAGAGCCCATGCAGGTCAGGCACCTGATCTCCAGACCGCCAGCTCTTCCTGCATAGCTTAAGTCCTATGGACTTAAATCTGGCCATCTGTTGGGGGAGGGTTGAGGAAAAGCACAGACATGCAGAACCACAGGGCAAGGTCGGGGCAAATACACTTTATTCAGTCCTGGTATCAGACTGGCGGAAGTCCTGCTGTGGGTGCCAGTGCCCCAGACAGAGGGACCCCTCCCTTCAGCTACTAGACTAGTTCTCCAAGACCACAGACAGTGACATCTCTTCACTCACATGACGTTTTCTGGGTTTTTTCATTGTCTTTTTTTGTTTTGTTTTGTTTTCTTAAAAAAGAGAGAGAGAGAGAGAGAGAGAGAGAGAGCGCAAGAAAGGCCCAGAGCTGGAGCACCAAGCAAAAGAGGCAGCTGGTGGCTTTGTCAGCGAAGGGAACGCGTGGGGCAGAGACCTGTAGAGACCCTGGGCAGGGGACCCGGAGGACTCTGGGACCGTTTGTTCCTGAGATTTGTGTGTGTGAATGAGTGTGTGAGCCACCCGGAGGTGAACACACGCCGGCGATACAGGTAGTGAGGGTAGAGGGGATGTGGAGAGGCCAGAGGGGCGGGGCTCCAGCCGGGAGCCAGGCTGAGGGGGTAACAGCAGAGGGATACATCTTCCTTCCAACAGCAACGCCGCCCCTATTTCTCTGTGGAAAAAACTGAGGTGCAAAGGGCAGCCCACCTGCATTCTAGAATGTATTGTCAACCCCCCCCCGTAGGTGGTCTCTCGAGCCGCTGTTTACACATGGGCTCTTTTCTGCCACCCATCTGCTATCCTGTCTCACTCCCAACTCCCAGCACCAATGTGCCTCAGTTTCTCCCATGAATACTGCAGCTATGGTTAAGGGTTGATCAGGTGACAAGAAAGGAAGGGATGGTGGGTTTAGGGAGGAGCCCAGGCTGGGAGGGTGCCCTGAGGTGATAGGGCGTTTCCCCCGGTGGGGGTGGGAGCAGCAGGGACCCTGTCCCCAGACAGTAGATATCTCATTTCTAAGTTTTCTTGGTCAATCCCTCCCTTGGTGGACTTCCAGAGGTTCTTCCTCCCAACTCCCAGTTGGAGAAAGAAAGGGACGTTCCTGGGGACCAAGATAAACTACGGGCAGTCACGCTGTTGGGAAGGCGGCGGGCGTGGGCAACCTCACCAGAGAAGTGGACCTATTCCACTTGGAGAGTGAAAGCCCCAGCCATCCCTTTTGGACTACCTAATTTCTCTCTCCCTTCTAAGTGCTCCTCCCATTAAGGCAGTGACGCCCCGTCGGGTAGAGAGGAAGCCAAGGGCTCCGGGATCAAAGGGTTTCTCAGGATCGCTCCACGCTCGCCCTCGTCCTTCTGGGCACAGGCTACAGAGGCGGGCAGCCGGCCAAGAACCAGCCCCCTCCTCCCAAGTAGCATTTAAGCATGCGCAAGGAGAGGGTGGGCCCAAAGGGAGGGGCGGGCACTAGAGCTCCAGGGGTGAAGGAGCGCGCCCCACCCCCGGGAAGGGGCGGGGCCTAGGAGGAGAGCGTGGGGCCGCGTCGTCCCCACTCCAAGAAGGCAGGCTAGGCGAGGGCGGAGAGATTCTCGAGCAAGGGAGGGGGCGTGTCCTCCGGCCACGAGGAGGGGCGTGTGCAAAGTGGGGGAAGGGTGCAGGTCGGTAAGGGAGAGGGGAGGGAGGTGTAACGGAGGGGGGCTGGCTGCTGGTGGCTGTGCGGGAGGGTACAAGATGGGGAGGGGCGTGGCTGTCAGGGAAAGGCTGGGGGTTGGGTTGCCTTGGGGTGTGTCCGCGGGGGAGGGGCAAGTCTGGATCTGAGAGGGGGATGGGCACGTCTAGGAGGGGAGAGGCTGCGTGGGAGATGGGGTGCCAGCCTCGGCCTCCGAGGGGCCCCAATACCTGATTCCTGTATGTAAACAGCTGGTTTGGGGGCGTGCGCGCCCCGCTGACGGTGGGCTCAGTAGGTGAAAACCAGGTCGGCGATGCTAGACGGGCGCCAGTCCCCAGCGATCATCTCGGTGACCTCGGGCGTGCAGTAGTCCGGGAACTCGAAGTGTGACGTGCCCGAGGCTGGGGGCAGGTCTGGGTCGCGGTCCAGGGCGCTGCAGTCCAGGGCGGTGGGGACTGGGGGCTGCCTGGATAGAAAGCCCAGCGGCTCCTCCCCCGGTGCCGCCGTGTCTTCCTCGCCTTCCTCCGCTGCTGCCGCCTCCTCCTCCTCCTCCAGCTCCTCGTCCTCCGACGGGGTCGGGGAGGCAGAGGGGGCAGCCGCCCCCTCGCCCGACGGCCCTTGGGCGCGCTCCGCCGGCCCCCGGGCGGCCCGCCCCGCTGGGACCATCCGCCACAGCTCCCGCCCGGGGGTCTCGACCAGGCGCACTTCCAGCAGCTCCTCGTCGTCATCCTCATCGTCGTCCTCGGGCGGCGCCGCGCCGCCCCCCAAAGGCCCTCCCGCCGCCCGGCGGGCCCCGCGGCCGGGCAGCTGCGGCCCGGGCTTGAGCCGGCTGCCGCCGCCGGGGGGGCGGGGCCGCGCCTTGGCGGGCGCCCCCTTGCTCTTTTTGCGCGGCCGGTACTTGTAGTCCGGGTAATCCGCCATGTGCTTGAGGCGCAGCCGCTCCGCCTCCCGCACGAACGGGATCTTCTCCGAGTCCTGCAGCAGCTGCCAGCGGCGGCCCAGGCGCTTGGAGATCTCGGCGTTGTGCATGTCGGGCCACTGGTCCATGATCTTCCGCCGTTCGTGCTGCGACCACACCATGAACGCGTTCATTGGCCTCTTGATGTGGCCGCTCGGGGTCTTGCACCAGCCGGGCTCGCGCGCCCCCTCCTCGGTCGGCCCGGGCCCCGGGGGCTGCGGCCCGCTGTCCCGCTTGGCCCGCGCGCCCCGCTGCTGCACCATCGCGCCTGGGCCCCGGGCCGCTAGACGCCGCCGGGGGCCGTCCGCATCCTCCGCGGCTGGGGATGGGGGAGGAGGCAGCGGCGACGGAGGGGCGGCCCCGCCCCGCGGCTCAGCCCGGCCCCCGCGAGCTAGGGAGCGAGGAGCTGGGCACTCAGGCCCAATGGACGGCGGGGGGAGGTCAGCGGCGCGGTCTCAGGCGGGCTCTGTGCGGGCCCGTCGGCCCGGGCAAGTTGCGCCCCTCTGCACGCCACACATTGTTGTGCGGGGGCGGAGGAATCGCGCCCTCCCGGCCCCACGGGCGCTCCTTGCAGCCTCCGGCTCCGCCACGGCCCGCGCGCGCAGCTCCCCACCCCGCCGCCGCCTTCCAGTCTTTCTCCCCGCGCGGCCCCGCCGGCGCGCGCGCCACCCCTCCCCCTCGCTGTCTGCGGGCCGCTGCGGCGCGCGCGGGGCCGCCCCGTGTAAACATAGAGGTGCCCGCCTGGGCTGGGGCCGGGCCACGCCTAGCGTCCGGGCGGCGCGTCACCCGTTGCTGGGCAGAGAACGCAGTATTTGCATCTCCCAATCGCTAGCCACGAGAGTGGGGCGGGGCTCGGGCTGCAGGCTCGGCGGTCTCGCGCCTGGGATTGGGGGAGACGGATGAGATCGTTTTCTTTTCTTAGGTTGGGGGCTGGAGGAAAGGCGGGGGGGGGGAATCGGGGAGCATGCTTTCCATCTGGCTCTCAAGGCTTGCACTCGTTCTGCGTGGCCTTTGCAGTGTTAGCTTATTCAGTGACACCTGCCTCCAGGTAAGGACTCCCGCCCCTTTCTCTTCAGAGTACATCTTTTGGAGTGTCCCAGAAGATGTGGGGCAATCAATATTGAAGATTCTTAGAGGGCTAGACGCACTTTGTCACAGCCCCTACGTACTCCACGCAGGGTCCGGCCACCTACGGACTTAATGAGTACTTCTGTACGAACCCTTATCGAAGGAAAGAGGAAGGGAGGGCACAGGCTACTGAGAAAGGAATGATACCCACTTTCCGAAGACGAAACCCCGAGGCCATGTACCCTGCGAATCACAAGCTCGCGCGCCCAAGAGGCCGGGGCGCTGAGGTTCTCCCGAGTTTCTCGCAGGCGCGCTAGAGGGACGCGCGAGAGCGCGGTCCCAGATCGGTGCGGACCGGGCGCCGCGTGCGGGGCAGGGGCCGGGGGCGGGGCCAGCTGCAAGGCCGGGCGGGGAGGGCCTTGCGCTCCCCCTCACCACGTGTGAGCGGTTCTGGCGCCACTCGCCGGGTGCCACCCAGGGGAGGTCACCTTCACGGGCGTCGTGGGCCTGGGCGTTGGGAGGGGGCTTCCCCCTGAGGGGAGCTGGCAGGGAATGGGATAAAGGTTTCGGAGATGCCATTTCCCTGGAGCGGAGCGGGTACCGTGAGGAGCTTGAGCGCGCCTAGAGGTAGGGCTCACCACGGCCGGCGAGGACTGAGCCTGGGCGCCAGGCTGTGGGGCGGGACGGATGGGCCGAGGCGCGGCTCTGCGGCGCGGTGCCCTGTGCGCCCGCGACGGTAATTGGAGCGGGGGGGGCGGGTCTTAAAGGCACAGTGAGCTTGGAGGCGGAGGCTCTGCTCCCGCCCACGTGGACCCTCAGCCTTATTGAAAGCCAAGAGCTGGATGGAAATCCTAGCGTTTGACTCTTTGGTACTGAAACCTGTATTCGTATCCCAGTACCTCCTTTTGCTTACGCTTACAATGGAAAAAAAAAATGCATCTTTTCATTAGGTAGGCAGCTTCACTGGTTAAGTGGGATAGTGGATGGAAACACATCTTTGGGAACTACTAAATGCTCAATAGACGTCATCTGGGACCAGACTTCCCAGTAGTTGAGGTCACGACGAACTCGGAGATGATGTGAGAAAAGGTTGGTGGGGGTGGGAATGGATTTAATGTTCTTGGAAAGGTAACAAAGTTGTGATCCTGAGGAAAATAAAAACTTTCCTGGAATCTCTAATATCTTTTTTCCATCTGATGTTCATTTTAATTTACATGATATATGATGGTCAGAACTATCTTTTCTGTGCTTGGAACCTTTCCAAGGTTGTCTTTGTTTTTAGCTACTGCCTTTCTAATTCCCATGTGTTGGAATTGTTCCTATTCTCGTCCACCTCCAGATTGATTTGAAGCAGGGGTCAACAGAGAAAAGAAAATAATACATCCATTATTCCACCCCCCTTTCCCTCCATGTGTCTATCCATTCAACAAGTGTTTACTAATGCCACTTCACAGGCCCTGGGATGGACACTGTGGAGCTTAAGACAGGTAAAAGTTTAGCTGACTCTGAACCTCTTAAATTCTTGTCTGTCTTGCTCTGCAGTTGCCCAGACGCCTCACAACAGATAAGACGTGTGTGAGAGCTCCCTGATGGCGATGTGGGTTCACTTTTTTCCTCAAAAGACACAATAGTTATCGTTTCTAAAACAACTCCCTAAAAGAGTGGCACTTTAATTGTAGCAAGCACTGAACTGGAAACTAGCGCCTTCTGGCTTACAGCAGTGACCAAGACAAACAGAAGTGTCTCCTCTTCCTGAGCAATTGGGAGTATCAGAAAAGAGCAGGTAAACAAGATATTTTCAAATACTTGTGAGTGCTATAAAGAAAATAGACCAAGGCAGTGGAGTAGGTGATTGGGACAGAGGGGGTGATAAGAGATTGGAGGTGAGTTTAGATCTCAAGAGAATGAGAAGCCAACTCTATAGCGATCTGAAAGAACATTCCAGGCAAATGATGAAAAACAAGGACAACAGACTGGAGATGAGAAAGAAATTGGGGTAGGTAAGTGAGGAACAGCAGGGTGGTAAGTGAGGTGTCCAAGAGCAGAGACTATGGGGTGTACGTGTGGGGCGGGATGGGTCCCTTTGGAACTGCAACTGGAGGGAAATGTACAGTTAAGGCATTCTCCAGAGTGTGGGGAGCCAGGAAAAGTTTCTTAGTTGCAGAGTGTTATAATTAACATGGTGGTTTTTCTTTTTTCTTTTTTTTCAGTACTGGGGATTGAACTTGGGACCCGGTGCTTGTCAGGCAAGTGTTTTTTCTACTGAGCTATCTCCCTAGCCCAGGGTTGTGCTTTTGGAAGATTAAGGAGTTTCATATGTTGTGGATAGGGTGGACTTTTTTTTTTTTTTTTGCAGAACTGGGGATTGAATTCAGGCCCTTGTACTTGCCAGGCAAGCACTTATTCTAGCTTGGCCCCTAGTCATTATTATTATTATTATTATTA